TGTGTTGGAATAAACAAATAAGAAATGTTAGCTAATTTTGTAATTTTAAGTGGGATTTGTTTGGTTTTTACTTGTTAACTAAAATGATAGTATTGTCTTTTAAACAAAACAATATTTTGTAATTGTATTGTTTACTTAAAGGCATCTTTGTCTTTAACATTCAAAAGGTCATTGTGGAAATATGCAATTGTTGAAAATTCAAAGTAAAAATTTGGGGGTTTGACCAATCCAATTTTAAAAGTACCCCGAATTTACTTCAGTAATCATATTCACATATTACACTTTTATAGTATGATTAAGAGCTTGTTTGACAACCATTATTGTAAAAAAAAAAAATCTGAATAGTGATTTTTAGGAGAATGCGTGGTTAGAAAGTAGAGAAAAATTTTAAATATACGTGTAAAATATTTATCATATGAATATGTGGTTAAAAATGGTCTTGCAGCAAAGGATAAAACAAAATGGATAATGATTTTATTTGATAAATAGCCTCACTTAATTTTGATTAAATTATGTGAGATGGTATTTGTGCAAAATATATATATTATATATCATATTAGTAATGATTGTACAATGAAAGTGCGTTTAAATACTATTGAGGTTGAGAATTACCTCTAAATAAATGATGAATGTGAAAAGTGTTAATAAAATATTAAATTTGGGTCGACCTAGGAATTGTGGGGTCAAACTGTTCATTCTCAACATAAGTTTAAATCTATCCAAGACTTTATAGGGATAGCATTGTCTAAAAGTCACAATATTAATGAATTACCTTATGAGTCAGAGAAATTTTTTATGAAGATGGAAAGCTTAAAAGCCCTTGGTACACACAAGAATGTTATGCAAAGGAAACGAACCCTAAATGCGAGTCCTAAATATGAAAGTGCGTGTACTTTCATGAGACATGGACATTTTTAGCCATTTATATGTTGCACTAGAGATGGAATAAAATTATTTATTTCGTAGATAAACATAATTAACTATATGCTTGAATTGTCTATAGTTAGATTAACATTATGTCACTAAGTTGAGTCCTATCTAGAATTGTGGGGTGTATGACTGATTGACTGTTATTTGCATAATATTCCCAATTAAAGTTAGTATGCATTCTAGGACTTTACAATATCGATTAAGTTTGTTAAGACAAAGAGACTATCGAATCTCTTTACAAATGAGTTATTTAGAGAGTAAACTAACTGCGCATCTAGGTAAATGAATGTAAAGCTTAAATTAATAGGTCAGCTTAATGAAAAACTAACCGGCGACTGGCGATCACACGGACTAGGTTAAATAGGAAAACTAACTATGATAGACTCGATGAGAAGCACTTCGAATTTTTAGCTCCTCCCCATTTATATGTTGCAAATAAGTGTTGCCCGCCAAAAATTGGTTATGATAAATTATGCTTTTAATGATTATGATTATATATTGCAAACAGTACAGTGAAGTATTGTAGTGCATTCTCTATAGAATATCACCTATGCGAGTGAGAGCTTGACTAGTTTTATGAGAATTTTATTTAGGGGAATTCTCAGCTTGTAGACCCAAGAAATTACAGGACCAAAATGATGTACGATAGAGAACTAAAGTTTGATATGTAAAATTATATGCTTAGTCTATTGCAAGGCTTATAATAATGGTTGAAAAATCAAAACGTTGCGTTTATCGATTAGACATATGAGTTCGACAAATTCTTACTAAGAAAACTTCAAATCAAAAGCTACCGATCCTAATGCAATGTATACTAAGCGTTGTACGTATCGACCCATACAGTGTTGTAGCTAACGCATTAAGTATAATGTATGGGGAGTACGTTCACAAGAATGGAACTCAAAGGAATTGACGAGTACCAGCACAAGCGGTGGATCGTGTAGTTTAATTTGAATATCAAAGAGGTATATTGTTTCATATTGAATGTGACTATTCAAAAAAGTACATTATGAAAAGTCCTGACCTTTTGATAAGGTGCGATATAGACTATTAAATTTGAAAAGATGATCTAATGATCCACATTAATTTATATCAAAAGATATAACAATTCCGAAAGACACTTGAAAATCTATAAATAGGGACCACTAATTCCATTTTTCCTACACCAAATCAATTTAAGTAAAAATTGATTTCTAAATCTCTCTCCTCTTCAAGACTTCTATTCTTTTTATTTTGTACAACTAAAATTCCGTTCGAACAATTTTTATTCGTGTTTATTTCAATCGTGAAAAATATTGTCAACACTTCGTTTGCCCATGGAGAATTAATATTGTATTATATTAATTTTTGTTGAAGTATTGTATCTTGTGACATAAATGTCCATTTAATTCTATTAGCACCAGTGCATGGTCTATCTTAAAGAGACTAGCGTTCGCATACTTCGCTTCATTTCATCTCCTTTTGATTTCTATATTTCAGTAAATTGTAATTTGTGCACATTTTCATCACATACTTCGCTTCATTTCATCCCCAGTAATGTAAGCAGTGATACTTTTATTGATTTTTACCCACCCAACAAACATAAAAAAATGTCATACTAGCATTAGTTTGCTGTCGTCAATCTCAGGATTCAAGAGTCGGCAAGCGCAATAAGCTGATCAACGACACTAGGATCTGCAAGTGTGCTTGTATCCCCAAGTTCATCTAATTGCCTCGAAGCAATTTTCCTCAAAATTCTTCTCATTATCTTTCCACTTCTCGTCTTTGGAAGTCCCGGTGCCCAATGGATTTTGTCGGGAGCTGCAAATGCTCCAATCTGATGTGGCCGTAAAAGTTTCGTAAAATATAGTTCAGCCATTTTCCAAACGATTATTTTAAAGAAAATAATGAATTGGAATATCAACACACCTGATTTCTCACTGTCAACACAAGACTTTTCCGCAGTTCTTCACTGTACGGAACGCCTCCTACCAGAGTAACAAATGCATATATGCCTTGTCCTTTAACCTAACATAATACTCAAAATAAAGATAAGTAAAAATTAATCTAGATTCCGTCTATCCAAAATTATAAGTAAACATAATGTTATGGTACCTCATGCTCAACACCAACGACAGCAGCTTCAGCACACTGGGGATGTGAAACAAGCGCAGATTCCACTTCTGCTGTGCCAATACGGTGCCCACTATATATTTTTCATAAGGTAAGTAAAAAGCGGCACCCCAATCCAAACGACTCTAAACTACTTCGAAGTTCATTTATCAATCTAAAATATAAAATGACGACGAAAATAAATACCATACCTGACATTAATTACATCATCGACTCTTCCCGTAAGCCAATGGTAACCATCTTTGTCCCTGAATTCCTCATAAAAAGGACAAAGAAAAGATCAAAAGAAGGGGAATGAAGAGGGAAAGAGACAGAGCAACGAATATACACCTAAAAAAACCGTTGAACTGTATAACCTCAAAAGTAACTACCTGCTACAGCCATCTCCACTAAAGTAGTAGCCAGGGAAGGCACTGAAGTATGTTGTTTCATATCTTTCGTGATCTCCATAAAGTGTTCGGAATGCCCCAGGCCAGGAGCTTTTCACACACAAATATCCACTGCACTCACCTTCAATCTCAACACCCTTCTCATCCACTATGACAGGCTGCATTATTCAAGGTCATATGATGGATAAGAAGTGTAAACCATTTCAATATTCCATTAATGCAATTGACTGAAGTATTGCCCTAATTGGAAGAATTTTGATGTTTAAATTGAAACTAAACTGACCATAATATGATAAAAAATTGAACTATAAATTTATCAGTTAATTGATGATACAGTATTCACCATTTAGGTAAATTCATTTTGTCGCCCGTTATTTGGGGTTAAAGACACTTTTCTTCTTTAGGATCCATTTGTTTCAACACAATAATGGGGCAAAAAAAAAAATCATTTCAGACAATATCAAATTTTCATCTGATAGTGTGGAGCTCAAATTCTGGTAAGGATGAAAATGTTTACACAAAATTTGATACTGTAAATTATATTCCTGAAAAATCTATCAAGTTACTAAAACCAGAATGAGGAAAATATTTTCCGATAAAACTTCGTTGTCTTCATTTTTACAATCTAATCTAACAAATGAATCATTAGGCATCAAATATGACCATGTTTAACCACTCCAGAAGAAGCTGGAAAAAAGTAAAATTAATTGGACTTGTTTGCTGGATGAAAAGTTGAAATACTTGCACAAGTATTTACTTAAAACACCAGCATAATTAATAAAATAGGAAAATATGGGTTGGGAGAATTTAGGTGAGTTGATATTTTGGTGGTGCCACATTATCCCCACGTCTAGTACCTGCACTCCAAAGAAAGGAAAGGTAGCAGAACCAGGTTTCTGAGGCCACGCGCCCGGTAAAGGAGTAATCTGCAAATGTTGACTAATGTTATATATATTATGGTTGTGGCTGCAATTAAAAAATAAAAATAACAAGAGAATGTACCATGAAGCCCCCGGTCTCAGTTTGCCACCAAGTGTCAGATATCGGGCATCTTGAGTCTCCAACCAAATTGAAAAACCACCTAGCATAGGTAAAAGGAAATAAATATATACGCAAGATCTTATAAGAATTATTTACCTTTGCCAAAATAATTGATACTAATTTCAACAAGGAAAGAAAAGTGAAAGATGCAAGAATAAATGTAAAACCTCCATGCACTTGGATTTATTGGTTCGCCCACACTGCCAAGAATGCGCAAGGATTTGCGTGAATATTGTGTGACATACTGCAAGATAAGCATAACGAAAATCAGCTATCCCCTTATCTGTAAGATAGCATTCCCAATCTAATAGTTGTATACACACAATGCCCCATCTTAGACCTTTTCTGGTCTTTAAACAAATAGTCTCAACATACAACAGTTTTCGAGAAAAGCTGTCCTACGTAACAAACCACAGACGGACAATAAGACATGGCCACAAGGTAATTAAGAAAGTATGACTGCAATTGTACAAGGGTGTTTTTGAAATAACTTGAGAGATTAATAAGCACCTTAAAATTGAAAATTTTAAACGAAACATAGATATGGAAAAAAAGAGTATAAAAAAGAAAAAAAAACAAAAACAAAATATGTGTAATTTGATCTATTGGTCTACTTCCATAGTCCAGGAGAAGCTAAATCCACTAGGAGAGAACAAGCGTGGAGAGCACAAGAACACTGAAAACTTTGAGATCCAAGATTTGATATATCTAGGAAAGCTAACTAAGAATACTCACAAAAGTAACAAATAACACCTGTAGAATACCCTGATAACGAAATAATACTGCCAGATTGAAAACATAACTTTCATTCAAGCCGGATGTCCAGTCAAATCGATTATTTTCATGTGAGCGATCCAATAACTTTTTGTTGATGCATTTAAAAAATCGTGCCAAAGAAACACGTAACAAAGCATAAAAATCACCATTAAAGTATCCAAGATTATATTATGCATCAAAAGCAAGCTTACAATGTAATTGATTTGACTTCTAATCTCGGATGAAAATTAGGACTGACAACGATGTTTGGAGCTAAAACAATATGTACGGTAATTAGCAGGAGAACAACGTGGCGACTCGAAAAGCATCATTCAGTTATGGAAATGTCATACCAAAATCAATGTTAGAGTCGAGCAAATAAGTAGACAATAACAATTTTGGCACGAAGTCGAGGACATGTGGAATCCATAGGTAATTCCACAACTATGTTATCGTTAATTATATCGACTACAAGTGTGAACACAAAAAGGGACACAATACTATGTTCAAAACTCTCATCCTCAGAAACCAACTTGTCTCCATAAGTTACTAGTCTAATCAATACTATCATTAGCCCCTTTGCTCGCACTATAATCATTGAAACAAACCTCTAAAGATTTGATAATTGTGTCAAGTAAGGTTTGATATTGATGGCATACTTCTCAAAAAGTCCAAATTCATTGTGAAAAGAAAACCTCCGTATCTCTCTTTTTCACACTGTCCAAAATGAGGTTAAGCAATTTCGAATAGAGATTGTCAATTTCTTCCAATTTAAGAGATAATTAACTCTATGAATGTGAAGATATTCCCTACTTGAATTTCTCTTAGGCTCTCATGCTCGAACTATTTGAAATGGACAATGTCTCGACACGACACGACGCAAGTATGGGATATGTGTCGGATCTTCCAAGTTTCAACCGGACATTTCGTCGTTTTCTGCTTCTTTCTTTTTCTCTTTTCTTCTTTCCCATTTTTGCTCTTTGTAAACCTAGTGCCGCCGCCAAGAGGGTGGAGGAAGGCAGCAGCGCTAGGTTCTTCCTTTTTTTTGTTCTTTCTTTCCCTTCTTTTTTTTTTGTCATTTTCCTCTTTGTATCGATGGTTTAGAGTTTCCTTTGTATAAAATGAAAATAGATTTCATATAGTGCTACTTAGTGTTTTACTAAGTCCAAATTACAATCAGCTCCCTCATTTTCTATTTTATATAATATTTAGTAATTAACTTCCCATAATTGAAAACTAAACCCCAAAATTCTATTTTATTCGTCTTAACCCCTTATTCAATAATAGTTTCCTCTTTGTGAATAATTGATTTTGGTCTATTTAAAATGACACATTGGGTTAGTAAAAAGAATTGAAACTTGAAAGACGTACCCACGTTGTATCTGAAATTTGGATTCTCTTTAGCAAATGTCCCCGTATCCTCTATTTTAGAAAATAAAATATTCGACACTTAGATACGTACCCTTACCCGAGTCCGAGCATCATAGCTCTTAAGGCTAAAACAAAATGTTGAAACATGTCATTTATCATTTGTTCGCAATCTAGATCCAACATGATGATATTGTAACTTACATTAGCCATAAGTTCAAGTAACCTAGCTCCCTTAACATACAATTCGATGAGCTTTTTTTAGAGATTAATGCAAAGGATGATATAATTAATGGACATATATCCTTCATTTTCTCATCACTCTATGGCGCGGGCATCAAGTGCAGTAATTTGAAATGTTTTGCTTAGGCAAGAAGCAACTGTCACTTGTATAGCAACATGTTCATACTTTATTAGCTCATCCTCATTATTAGTGGAGAGAGATGTGAGCATGAAAATAGCAGGTGATTGTTGGTTTACTTGTAAGAGCAAATCCTCAATTTATTCAAGTAAAGGCAAGAGTCCACGAAGTGACAGCGAAGGACGAAGATATTTTTCATTTGTCACTAATTGTTCTTGTAACTTTTTATAGGCACGTCCATGGAATGAAAAAAAACTGCTGAGGCCCGCCTCACTGTGAGACGTAGCTTCTGCGCCTCGAGGCTCAATCTATGAGGCAAAAAAATTGAGGCGCACGCCTCTACATCTGAGGCAAAAAAAATGAGGCGTGCGCCTCATTTGAAGTACCTTTTTTTCAAGGTTTTGAAAAGGAATTAAAAAAGACCCTCTTTAAAAAAGAGAAGGGCACATTTAAAAAGACATTTTGGGCCAAACAAAATATTAAAATATCTAGAATACCAAAAGGCAGCCAGAAATCCTTCTACACGGCAGACAGCAATCATCCTACATGGCCAGAGCTACACGGTAGTCATACACGGCAGTTAGAAATCTTCCCAGAACTACACGTCAATCAGAAAACTTATCTTCAATCATTCGCTTAAAAGAGGTCCTCAAGTGCTGCTTNTTAAAATTGTTTCACTAGACTTTACTTGGTTTTTTTTGTTCAGTGCATCGCCACCAGATTGCACCTATTTTGTTCGGCAGATTGCACCTGTTTTGTTTGCGGTGAGGCTTACGCCTCAAAACGTTTTGAGGCTTGTGTCTCGCTTCATGACAAAAAAAGTCTTAGTACTCGTTTACGTTTTTTCAAACTATGGGCACGTCGCAACATTCTGGGGATCGAAGGTACGATAAAGTGATTTGTTACTTTTCCCATGTTTTAAATTTTATTTGCTAATTAATATTACAATGAAGAAAACAACTAGTCTGTTTGTGTTTTCTTTTTGAAATATTAAAAATATTTATTCATGAAGCTGAAGTTTTAAATTTTTATTTTTTCAAGTTCTTTTAAATAAGATGCCAAGTACATAATAAAAATTAAGATTCCAATAGAACAAAATTGATACGTGATCAAGAATCAAATGGGAGCAATCCAATGTCTAAATCATTATTAAGCATGTGCAATCTACCTATGTTAGAATCAGATAATTCTTTACTGGTAATGAAAGCGGTCGAAAACTCTTAAGGCACCAAGCTACTGAGAAGCTCGACCCAGCTTAATCTTGGAGAATTTGGTGTTGCTACATAAAGATATGATGCGAATACTTTTTCATTTTCCCCCTTTCTTTTTTTTTCATTTATTTATTTAATTTTTTTTAACTTAACCGATATTTATTTATTTATGCATAGAGAAAGAAAGACACACAATGATTACAGAGTTCTTATGCAACCAGTAGAAGACCTGAGATGGCAATTACAGATGGCATAGCAATGGAAGGAGGTGAAAACTAAAGGCGACACTATCTATTGCAGTTGGTGGTACGTGAATCTACGGTGGAAGTGTTGTGGCAGAGGAGGAGGGCAATGACGGAGATTTTCTATGCGCACCAGAGTGGTGGCTTCACAGCGACAGTTTCTGGTGGATTGCGGGCTTGAGGCATAAACTATGGCTAAAAACCTATTGGAGAAAGTATTATTCAATTACTTTTTTCTTTTTAAACTGAGAACAATGAAGGAAAACAAACAATAGAACTTGAAATCAAAAATTCTGCACTATTAGTTAACAGTTGCAGAGCGAGCAGAAAAATAAAATTTTCTACTTGTTTCTTCAATAGATTTGTTTCTGTCGATTTTTGTTGCTTCTTTCCTTTTCTTGTGTTTGAATTTGTTCTATTGTGGGATCAGTTTGGTTTCGTCCAAACGGAGCTATGCTTTTTTCGGTGGTTAGCATAGTGGTTAGTGATTTGTAGGGTGCTGTTTAAAAGCTGGTTTGAGAGGTTTTGGGGCTCATGGTGATTTTCAGCGACAAAGGGTGTGGCAAAAAGAGGAATGGAATTGGCAGGGGTGGACATTGAAGTTTTACAAAACTTGTTTGGTCAAAGGAAACGATTAGTACTATGATACCAAATTGAAGCAAGATAAAATTAAACAAAAACAAGATCGAGAAAGAAAGAGGTAGAGAGAAGAGAATGAGAAGAAAAGGGAGAGAGGAGAGATTTAGATGGAGACAATATAAGTTTTTTCAATATCAAAATCTAAGTATTACAGTGCATATATAATATCCCGAAAGTTCTTTATACTCATTGATGAAAGCTTAGGAACCAAATTGATAACTTTCCATGGTTGAAGGACCCAATGTGCACTTTTTCAATTTCAAATTTTAGTAAAGAAATGATTATTGAATTTTCACATTTAGTCAAAGAAAAGATTATGGGATTGCCGTATTTAAACTATGGAAAGTAACTTAATTTATAGTCTGATTAAATGTGATTGCATGATTTGATATAAATATGGCATGTCAATTAACCTAATTAATTGGTTAATTAATATAATTAGAGAAACTTCATCTATTAAAAATTAGAAACATTATTTATGCATGAATAATTAGCAATCTCACATTTTTATATGGTATGATAAAATATTTAATTTGGCATAATTAAATCAATATATTTTATTGAGATATATAATTAGCAATATCACATTTTTATATGGTATGATAGAATATTTTAATTTGGCATAATTAAATAAATATATTTTATTTTGATATATAATTCTAACGCT